GTTTAAGTTTTTATGTATTTCATATTTTTTAGTAGAAAAATATAAAAGAATATTTTTTTTATTATATATAACCTTATCATGGAATATTAAATTCCTTTTTTTAGAACTTAACATTGTGTATTTAATAAAGAATACTTTTAAAAAATTTGCCAAAAGAATACAATTGTTCATCAAGCAAAGTTAAAAAAAGTTCCACAATATTAAATTATTTTTAAGGTATCCGACTACGTTCAGAACCATGATATCGCAAAATCATATAAATCGATAATATTTATGATATTTAGTGACACTTAGATTAGAAAATATATATAAAATTGTTTTAAGAATGGCATTACAATAAAACAATATTTTTATAAAAAATGAACATAGAATGACCTATTTTCAAAATATTCTCCTTTTGTGAAAAAGGCTTCTATTATAATAATATTTTGCTTGTATAAAGCTCAGTCCTCTATACAAAGGCTCAACTAGAATTTTTGAAATATATAACTTAGAAGTGTGTTTATCCATGTTTCATGATAACAGAGGGGAGAAATTTTAAGAAAAAAACGCCGATAATTATTTCAATGGGTTGTAACTCTGAAAATAATGTGAATTTTTCAAAAATCATAGTTGAGCCTCTATACGGAGGTCTGAGCTATATACAGGTAAAATATTATTATAATAGAAGCATTTTTCACAAAAGAAGAACATTTTTAAAAAGGTTATTCTAAGTTAGTTTTTTGCCAAAATATTGTATTTAAATATTTTTTTTGTGCCAAAATGTCCTTAAAACAATTTTATACATGTATTCTAATCTAAGTGACACTAAATATCATGAAAATTATCCATTTATGTACTGTTTTAAATTTACGGTTCCGAATGTAGTCGGATACCATAAAGTGAGAATTTTTTTCAATTTACTTCAGTATTGTTTAAATTCTCACATTACATTTACATAAATGATTTGTGCTAGATAGTTTTTTCTAATAATATTTTCTTCAATAATTTCTAAGAACGTTTAGATACTTCATTTAGAGAAAGCAGGGTGAAATTTAATATTCAGGTTAATTTACTACACACTTCTTTTATAGACACGTGAGTCATTTTACATGAAGAATGCGTTTTAAAATCAATGGTTGGTTTATGTTATATTGAGTAATATATATTTATAAACTACAGATTCAATAATTGAATATCTACCTCTTGGCGTAGAAATAAACGGGTTTGTACATTTGGCGATAACAGTGGACTCACTGTTGCAACCCTAAGAAGTCAAACAACTCCCCTCTGGGTCTC